GGGGGGGGGGGGAGAAGGGGGGAAAAAATTGTGTGTTTGTTTTTTTTTTTTTTTTTTTTTTTTTTTTTGTCAGAATAAAGCTCACTTTGACTGCATTTAAAACTGGCTTTCAAGATAAACAAAGTAAAATTCAGCATGTCCATACATCCTGTTAAAGATTCCTTCCTGAGAGTAATTTCTACACCTATAATCAATGTGTCATTATGGGCCTGTAAAAATGTTTGTTGAAAACACGTGTTCTTTAATAAGGTCAGAACACGGACTGGGTCCACATGTGTACAGTATGTGAAAGTAGAAGAAAAGCTCTGAGAGTAATATTTTCCATCTGAGCTAGAGGAGCTGATTCTCTGCATCTCCTCCAGAGTTACCATGGGACTCTTGACTGATTCTTATTAATCCCCAGCATAGCGTAAGCCAGCTCTTGTTAGGTTTGCAGTTTTTACATCCTCTTATCATTTTTAAACTCTATATAACCATCTAGATACGTTTTACAGTGTTTTGGTGATATTGGTAGTCTTCAATAAATTTTATTTAGGGTTAACAGAGTAATGGGACTGCATACAAATGCACACCCCACTTTTCAGATTGTTTCAAACATGATTAAAGTCTGTAGTTTTATTGTGAAATAATGAACTTTTTTCTGTTTCTTTTTTTTTTTTTTTTTTTTTTACAAGGAAGTGTCATGGATACGGACACAAAAATATAATAGAATAATTTAATTTGTGCACAATGAAGGAATCATCTTTAGATTGTGATTATACATTATACGCATGAATGGTTGTAGAGTTATCTGCTCTTTCCATTTCCTTTCCTTTCTACGCTCTTCCTTTCCTCTCATTCTTTTCCTTTCCTTTCCAATCTGCAAATTGCTGACAAAACATGGAAAGTAAATTGATCAAATGCAGCTGAGAGCAATTATCGTCTGTGAGTGGGGCTTATATCCTCATGATCCCGTCTGCCGTCTGTTACCACACAGACCACAAGAAAACCTCGAACAGGACCTTATTTTCAACTATGGCAACTTTATTGCCTCAGGAATGCTGTCAATAAAACCACTGAACGGCAATAATAAATCAACAATGTAGTGCAAAGCATAACAAATGTGACGACACTGGAGATAGACTTCTGTTTCAAAAATAAAGGGTGTTTATAATCTTTCAGTCAGTGAAGACCAAGAAAAAGAGTTTAGACCCATGAATGACAACACTTTTTATGTCCCATCACCTCAGGATTGTGAGTTTTTCCTCTCGTTCTCTTTTAGCTTCCTTCTCCTCTCCATCATTCTGCACAGCTGAGAGCCCACATCTGCAGCTGGTTTTAAGAGCGCTCCTCTGCTTCGCCTGAGCCAGTACAGTAGCATTAAGTAGTAAATCTACCAGATCAACAGCCCGTTAAGGACATCTATCCCGCCAGCCAAAAGTTATTGTATTAAATTTGGTTTTTGTCGTGATGGGAAAATTATTGCTAGCAGCTTTGTTGACACACAAAACATGATTGTCTATGTTGGAGCTATTTAATTAATTAGTAGGAGGCATGAATACAGACTTTTTTAAAACTTTTTGCAGCAGGTCAAATTCCAAAATGTACTGGAGTTTATTAATGTTAATCACTGACTGAGATTTACAGGAAGGTAGTGCTGTCATTCCCACCAAGCTAAACATATTGAGAAGTTTTTAAAAATAACATTTAAATTGCTCTCTAAGGTGTGGACTAATCATTGAAACAGTTTGAAATGAGCAGTGTTGTACATAAGTAGCGGTACAGGGATTAAGTAAAAGGTTGAGGTAAATGTCTTCAAAAAGTTCTGCCAATAAATGAAACATTTGAGACAGAGAAAGCAGTTTGCAAATAGATTCTGTATAATAACTATATCAGAAATGTGCAAAATCTGCAAATTTACCTTTTTAAGTGATCACGAATGTACACCAAACTGCACATAATTTGAAAAAAAATGTATCCAAAGATGAACAGTTTAAATAAAAAGAAATGCTCATTTCAAATCCTGCTGTCTTACCGTTTTACGATTTGTTAAATTTCCCCCTCCTTTATCTTCTGTTTGTCTCTTTTCTTTGAAAGTCTGAAGGTCACTCACCAAATCTCTGCCTGTGCCACCTGTTGACAGGCCAGAGCTACTGATTCAAGCTCTGAGGATCTCTACACTCTGAGCGACTCTCTCTCTCTCTCTCCCTCTCTTTCCCTCTCTCTTCTTACTTAAATGTTAACATGTTTCAAATGCCTGTAGGCCAGTGAGTGGTAAGTTTGGGAGTGTCTCTGCTCCTTCTACAGTCACTGAGTGAGGAGGATGAAAGATCACAGGAGGCGGAGAGGTTATTAACTACTTACATTTGATCCTAGAGATAACGACTCTCGACCTAAACACTCTTTGTGCATAGATTCTCAATGGTCCCCTCTCATTTTCCACTTATTTTATTGCGTGTCTAATTGCAGTAACCAAAAAAAAAAATTAAAAAAAAAGCATGAGGAATTCAACTTAATCTCTTCAGCAGCAACTGAAATAAAGGTCTTATTGAAAGCAGTGAGTTTGAAGCCAAGACAAATACAGATCTGATCCAGGATAAAACAGTCCCCTGGGGAATAATTATTTTTGACAGAATTTATCTCTTATGCGAAACATAGCACAATGAATACACATTCAAAGGCAGTAGCAGAGACATGCAGCCCGTGTTTGAGATGAAGATAAAAGAACACCAGCTATGGATCCTGGGCAAAAATAAAAAATATGATAATGATCACTTTGGTGAATCCACTGCTGTTCTGATAAATGGAAAAAAAAATCAAACCATCTTGACTTGATTTAAAATGTTTTCTCTTCAAAAATGTGTCTTGCATTGTTTTTGTGGAGATGGCCACCGCTGAGTGGCGTCTGAGGAGGGATCAACATCTTACTCCTTTAGAGGAAGAGCGCGCCTGCTTTTTTTTTTTTTGGATGGCTTTCCTTAAAGAATAAAAGTTAAATGTGAAGTTGAAGCATGTAGGGCCAGGTAAACCCCACGTGCCAAGGCTGGCAGTAGTTCCTGAATACACATAAAACAGCTTCCACATTTCTGTGGGAACGGATAGGGAACATTGGGATTGTTTGAGTGACACTGTATGGATCACGAGCTGAGACAGGAGTTGTGAGTATTTAAACAGAAGTCCTCAGTTTTATCCGTGAACAACGCGACCAGTGATTGGTATACATTTTTCTTTTATTTTAAATATAAAATACGATGGGATGAACGAAACTGTACATCAGAATAAAGAAAAATGCATCTGCGTCTTTGAAGTTACAAACTATTCACAGGAGAACTTTGTCTGTTGAAGTCATGTAAAGTGGATCCTTGGAGAGTTAGCATTCCCAGCCGTTCTTTGTTGTATTTTCTGTTAACATCATGTTACCATGGATTTTTAATGCATTCCTGAAAAATACTAGGATACTGCAATTGAAATTTGCAGAAAAGTTCTGGGTTCTTTAATTAATTATTATTTTTTTTTTTTTACATAAGCTAAAAACGTTTTGTTCACAAGTAGATACTCCACATTGAACAAACAAAAAAACTCAAAATGTTATATGGTTTGTGATTTTTTTGAACATTAGGGCAGTTACTGCTTTTCTCTTTTCTTTTTTTTTAAAGTAATAACATTTTACTGCTGTACAGCACAGCATTAGTGCACTTCTATACACTAGTTCAAAATCCTATTTACTTTAAAATTACAAAAGATACTGGTCAAGTGTAGTTATTAAGTTACTGCTATTTTGTATAACAAAAAAAATTACATTATTTTGTTCTAAATGATCTGTACAACTGATTTAAATAATTTTAGTAAAATTGAACTTGAAGGATAGAAAATGTGAAGAAGAAACACTTTTAAATCCATGTAACGCTTTCAAAGACCTGCGGTGTGGTAGGACATGCCAATTACAGTGCTTCTTGATGAGAAGCCATGTCTCGCACGTCTATTCCTAGAGAAAAATGTGAATGTTTCCCATTGCGTGTGTTGGTTTCACCCCATGCTGGGAAAATGTACCCCACACAGCTGTAACAGAGCTCTTCTCAGCAGGGTGAATCTTATATTATGTTTTCTTTAAAGTGATGCATGTCTGCACTCGGCTTCCTTCCTCTCCTGGGCAGAAGACAAACGTTCAGATGTTATTAGGAGAGCCCACACACACCTTTTGATTTACTTTCTTGACTCATTTCTACTCCTCGTTTAAGGATGAAATGCTCTTCACGGAAAAAAAGCGGTTTCTTTTTTTTTTTTACATCAAATTGTAGCCAGGGCACACAAAGGTCAAAACAGTTTCGGAATACCTCCTGGCTAACCTAATTGATTTAGTTTGTGTATAACAAGCAGGTGTTGATTGGATTTATTTGCAGCTGTCGGTTTATGTTATCGTCTGCTGCTTGGAATGCTCATTAAAATATAGGGGAAATGACTGTTATTTTCAATGTACCTCAGGCTAATTATAATATTTTTAACTGTGTTTTTGTTTATTAAACATGTATATGAAAAATAAATCTTCACTTTGAGATGACAAAGCATTAAATGTGAATTTCATATTTATAACCTGAAAAAGAAGTTGCCAAGTTATATTTGCCATGACAGATAGTTGTGAAATATATTTCTCGTACTCCCATAAAGTTCTGTTGGCACTAGTTTCAAATCTTGACACGGGAATCCCAGCTGTCTTTCATTTATTTAAAATCTGGTTGACATAGTCAGTAATGGGTCAGAGTTTGTCATTTCTTATGTTCTCAAAAACAAGCATCCAGTAATTATCCTCCAAGTATTTCCATTGTTTGAGAATGGCTGTTTGCATGTTGTCAGGTGTTCCTCCCCTCCCACATGTTGTTTGATCTGCATGTTCATTTGACATTTTTCTATTGCTTTTGTTTCAATCAAGATTTTTCTGTTGTTGTGCATTAGAAACATGCTTTGAATGCATTTTTTTTTTTGGGGGGGGGGAAGGGGGGCATTATCAGAATCACATTTATCTTCCATTCAGCTAATAGGCTTTCTGTAGCCTGTAGTGGGAAATCTGTTTATGTTTCTCACAATGAAATTTATGTAGCCAGATGTTCAAATGCCATGTTTAGATATGAGTTTTCCTGTTGTTTACAGTCACAGCTGAACACAAAGTGATTAAGTCTTATTAATCACATTTAGTACGTAGTGTGCCTTTTTAATGGGTTATTTTTAACAAAACCAAGAGAAAAACATTACTTACTTCCTTAGATTTTTCATCATTAAGATAGACAATAACAGCTTGTTTTTAAGTTTGATTGCAAGATACAGGAAATATTTTTACTGACCACTTCTCAATCCTGGTTACTGCTTGTTGAGACAATTTGCACACCTCCCCCTAATAATTTTGAATGTCTTGTAAAAACCACCATGTGAGAGATCCTTGTACTTACACACTACAATAAAGTGACAATTACTCCAATGTATTTTTGCCAAACCATCCATCCATCCATCCATCCATCCATCTTCTTCCGCTTATCCGGGATCGGGTCGCGGGGGCAGCAGCTTCAGAAGGGTTAGGGTTAAACCATAACATGCTAAAAATGTCTTTAATTGAGGTAATGGTTACCTTGCATTCTACTACAGTTTATATACATTACACATCATTAATCATTATGTCAGGAATTAATGTTTTTATAGTTTTCCCCCTCATGAATGGCCTTGTTGTGCGAATTCACAGCAGACAGAACTTGTTTGCTATATGGATATCATTTCATTTGCAAATCTTAGCTGTTTTATATTTGGTAAATAACACAACACTTACAGTAAGAATGGAGTGACACACTTCCCAAAATTGATCCAGAGACTGTGTGGTGTGGTGTCTGGCCCAAGTCATTGTTTTTTTCTTGTTTCTTTTATTACTATGTTAAGAAAGGACCTTAAAGGTGTTTATTGGTCTATCATCTCCACTTTAAGCCCTTAAGAAGCAATGTCTGGTAGTCAGTCATTCTGGGGCTGTCACTACATCACTTGACAGGTCACAGACAGGAGCTCCCACTCGACTTAAGGGGCCTCCTTGCCTGATGCCTTTCTGAAATCATGGATTTGACGTGGTCCAAGTCATGCTTCAGACTGTTTTTGTAAGGGATTATCTAGGGACTATTTTATCAACTTATACACCTTGAAAGTGAGAAGATAAACATAACTGCCCTTTCAATTTTTAAATATTATGAGAATGGCCTTAAGAAATGTTCTCTGATTACCCATACCTACAAAATGCAGCTCTGAAGCTACATGTGGCTCTTTAGATCCTCATGTAGCTCATAAAATCTTTGGCCAAAAATGATTTAAAAAATTGGAGCAAAGTTATAAAATGTAATAGTCATTAAAATTATATGTTCTTGCAGCTTTTCCTGGGCATTTTAATGCAACAGATGCATAACATTTTCACAAATGAATATACAGACTTAGGAAAAAAAAAAATTGATAATTGGTTGCCGAATTTATGCATTTTTAATGTAATTTTCCAAAATATCAAATACCCCATTGGGAAAAATCTAAATGAATTCTATATGGCAGGTATTGTAAAAAAAAAAAAAAAGAAGAAAAAAAAGGAGTTGTTGCTTCTTTGATTATCAATTTTTTAATGAATGAAAACAGAAAAATCTTTCGACCAGTTTTACTCCGGTGATCAGGGGATAGAAAGACTAGGATGTCCGTTACAAAAGTACGTAACCACCATTCTCATTTTTTCTGAAAATGTTCACTAATCTGGGTTTAACAATGCTGTTTGTCCTTTTCAGAAACCAACTTTTCTTCCTTCTTGGTCATTTGCAGCTCAAGCATAATGTTGGATAAGGATTTTTTTAGAAGGAAAACTATAGAGATTTTTCTGTATATTTGAATGCCGCACTTATTTTGACTCATCTTTTCAGAACTGAAAAAAAAAAAAAAAAAATCACAGGAACAATACAGTTTCATTTGGGTGGAGGCTAAAGCCATAAGTTAGACCTCATCTGATGAAAGTATCTGAACTTTTCAGTGACATTTCCATGCTGTTAGTGCAACAGACAAAACTGCTAAATAGCAAATAATTTACGTTCAAAATACAGCTTGCTACATGCAATGATATGCCAAACCAATATACTATACTGCTGCTATCGCTATCATACCAGAGATTGGTAACACCACCAATACTACAGCAACGCTATGAAGAATAGAGTGGATAGTGATCAATTCATCAGTTGCAGCCAGTAAGGACAAACTGAGTTTTAAAGAAGTTTTGGCCTTGATTAAATATGGCACAAGATGAAAAAGAG